TAAAGTGGTTAACGCCCGTTGTTTCCTGCGTTGACGTATGGGCAACCACTTTAGTTGCAACCGATATGCAGAGACATGGTCGTATTTACGCAGGTTAAAAACGAATCGACTAGTTTCGAATCGAATCGAATAGTTTTTCCCGTTTGTAATGAAATTAATGTTAGAAAAACGTGGATAAGCTTGTTATGTAAAGGGTGTTTTAATGTTATTTACTACTATTTGACGTTTGTGACCATTTTTGTAGTACTTGTATCTACACACATAGATAGAAAATACTATCTGTTTGCAGTATCTGTCAATTTTATTCTACAGATTACTAATACTAACCTCCTCTTGAATATTTTGATTAAAAAGTACTATGACGAAGAACTTAATTGTTTTCGTACATTATATGTATTGCCAACCAGTATTTCATATTCAATAGCTTATCGTTCCTTTGTAATCAAAAACAGTAAGGCGGTCACTTTTAGACACTTGCACACATAAGCATCTATGTACATATGTAGAAATAACAAATAACTAATTGTCTTCCAGCCAGTACATAAGTAGATTGCGCCACGCTTCTTAATTCAAACGTAACTCAAAATGGCTGCCGTTAAATGTATTGTGACGGCTAATAATATAAGTGGCCAGTAACAGACAGTTTGACTTAATTAATGGTGATATGCGTCTGCGCAGGGTGCTTGTACTTTCGATTTTTATTTATCTTTACATCAGGACTGTACCTAGAGATAATTTTGTTTAAAATTTAGCAATGCATTTCAAACAAAGACACCTAAGGATTTTATTTTACAATTATTTATGTAAGTTATACCTGGATATAAAAGTCTACTTAGCAATAGGTAATTTCTGAGTAAAGATAGGTACCTACATTATCAAAGTAATTTTTGTATCTCTCACAAAATACGTAATTGTGCATTAATATGATTAATCTAGAATAGGCACGTGCCTATACACACATACGTATGTACGTCTGATATAATAGATACAGTTTAGATTGAATACAATAGCTAAAATTATGTCAACAAAATAAATCTTATTATCACAAGTCTAAGTTGTGTCTATTCTATAAAGGCTATGTCCACTAACTGATGGCTCTTCCATTCTATGCCTATCATTGTCGACTATCCGACATGTTTCTATTGTGTGGCAGCCCTAGATGTAGAAAGTACAATCAACAACTAAAGATTTTCCTCAATACTTTTTTTATTATTTAATGGCCTAATGAATATTTTGTCAATCTGATTTTTATAGAACTAGGTGCTATTTAAAATTTTATGTTTTAGTTTCTAAATGTAAATGAAAAAAAAAACAATAAATGCTCACGAGCCGAATGTCAACAGATAACCTCATCCTTTTTTATTATACCTACAGACTTTCTATAAGGCTTTTTCAACGAGTGATTAAGTATCGAAAACATGGTGATCAAAATAGTTTTAAAAATTAAAATGTATCTTGGACGTAACATTCCAACGAGCGAAGAAAGTTGTACTACGAAAATAGTTACCAAGACATGGTCTGCATAGTTTAACCATCAAGGCTAATAGTATAATAGGTAAACAAACCTTAGGTGTGAAAATGAATGCAAAAAAGTGCTAATATAGACGCCTGTGTGGTTCTCAACTCCACGCCGTTGTTTTTTCTAGCAAATATTTAATTCATGCGGCTTAACTATGCATGTCGCCATCCATGGGTCTGGTTGCAAAATACAGGGGGAAAATAATTAAACGTTGATGGCAACATTATTTTGTGGCATGATTACGGGTAACGTAGCAGTGTGCGTCTGGGAGGAGATGTCGCGGCGTGCGCGGGCGCAGGCCCCACCCCCGCGCCGCTAATTGCGCCAATCTGCGGGGCGAGCCGCACGCACACACGCGCGACGCACGCACACACCGGCCACGCGGTGACAAACGCTGCATTCGCCAAATGTATGTACGTTACTAGTGTATGTAAATGAAAATGTACTGAGGAGCACGAGGAAACAACAGCAGTCATTATACGGGAGCGCTCCGCAGCTCACACAAAGGTATACCCATCATTTTAGTGGGAATTGTTCGTGTTTTATTTTTATGTCGGAGACATTCAATTATTTTTAATTATAGCAGGTCTCGCACAATTACTTGGTGCAAGGGTTTACAGTACCTACATATAGAATGAGCTTCAATGAAAAATGTTACATGTGAACAAGTCGAAATTGCAAAAAGAATGTTTAATCAATTAAAAGGTGGGGTAGGTAGAGGATGAGGGGGCCGGTCTGACGACAGACAGGCGGCCGGGGCTGACGCACTCGTTACTACGTTCATTTATTTAACCAACAGAACGCGGTAATTGAAAAAATCTCATTTTCTCCCGTCTAGTGATGTAAACTTGTGTTAAAGGAATAATAAAAAAACAAATGAACGTCTGGCGGTCGGTCCTGCCGGCTTCGGCGTGCGGCCGGCTACTTGTTTGCTCATGTTTTACTATAGGTAACGTTTTCACTCAACCACATTATCCAGCGAAGCGAAACTGTAAGTGTTAGGACTTACTAAAGGGGATTTTTATGGGATTCATTTACATAGGTACCCCAGTCCATGGACTTTTTAAAAGAAACAGTCCGACGTCCTCGTTTTTTTTTTCACGGAGCCATGATTACAACAGTCACTTCAGTAGTAATTTCAATCCACTTATCTTACATATGGAGTTACGTAAGTGCACACAAGCCAATAATTTAAAACAACGTATCATAACAATTACAGCTTTTTCATTGAAATAGTGCATTTAAAATTAAACTCTATGTAGTCAAGATAAAGCTACGTTTCAGTTATCGTCGTAGAGATTACAAGTGGTACGATGTTTGTCATTGTTCAATAGGTGTGAAATTGGCGATGAGTCGATACAGAACGGTGGATTGAATAATGTGCTTATTTTCTTTGTTTGTTTGTCTTCTTGTCTTTCCTACTGTTTCTGTACTCCCGGGCCATCAGCAAAAAAACTTTGTGGAGATTTATAAAAAGGCTATTTAATTAGTGCCTAATTTTTCATAATGTTATATCTACCCAAAAATTTTACGTAAATTCGGTACGTTTAACATACAATGCACAATAATAACTTTACCATTTATTTCATTATAAAATTACATAAACAGTTTCTTAAGAAAAATAAATTCAGGCAGCCGTAAATATTTGTATGTTAAATAGGTAGGTATTTCGGCAACACAGGACGTCTAAAGTCATTTAATTTACAAAGTAGAATACTCAGAATCAGACATTTTATATTTTTTACGTGTCGTCAGTCAACAAATCAAATGTAATATAAACCGGCCGGCCATTAAGTAGGTATCGCGCAATAGGTGTAACATTTCAGAAGTTAGACCGAATAAAAACAACAATAAAAGTAAAACTCTCTCAGTGGAATAAATAATTTCCACTATGTCATCAATCGCTTCACTAAACCATAAATTGGGAGTGCGCGTCAAACACGCGGCCGTATCGCGTTACAGCGACACACCCGTCACCATGGCAACCGAGCTGTCATTAAAAAAACGTTTCATTAGCTCACCACCACGTCCCAACGAATTCCACACAAATTAACATAAATTGTTTTCGTCAACTCCAGATATTCTGGCTCTAAGATACTTAGTGTTCATAAACACTTTTATATAGGTGCAAGACACGTTTGTGCAGTTTAATTCGTAAATAAAATAACTATAATAATGCGAGATATGCCGGTGACGCGAGAGGCATAAACTCGGTAATAAAGTTAGTGACCAAGTGAAAACGATCCGAGTTGTCATCGTACTAACTTTATATCCGCCCCAACACGGTTAAATACGCTTTTTATAACTCCAGAAACCAAGCACCCATTCTACAAAGAGAAACATTTCAAAACCGACTATTTATTTGCATGTAAAATATAAAAGAAGAAACCTGTGTTACTTTAATACGAGAGATAACAAAAGTGAGCAGCGACATACTGTTAATATTTTTCAATTTACTTATCTGTCGGCGGAAATCAATGTTTCACATAATTTTAAATGTAAGTAACCTAATCGAAAGCCGGTGTGTGTCGACGGACGAATTTACCAGATTCAGATGTAATCAGAGCGACAAGAAGCCGCATCGGAGCTCGACACTAACACGATAACAGAGTGGGTTTACAAACAGGACTGTGCCCGGGCGGGTGGCGGGTGGCCGGTCCCAGCCCGCGTCCAGCCAGCCTCCGACACACATAAACTAACACACATAACTGCTGTGAACGCGACGAAATCAATTCCCAGTTCCGATTCCGAGAAGTGACACAGTTTCTTAAGTGTCGCATCACTACCGACGGACCGCTAAATAAATTCTAATCGTCCCCATATCGTCCACATGCCAATCTAGTCCCTAACACCACGATATAGGTGACCTTTTGTACCTACCCAGCCAAGTAGTTACAATATAAAGAAGAGCCACCTGTCCCCACGAAAATCTTTATAGCCGCCATAAAATTTAAACCTCAAAAGAAAAAACAAAAAGTATGGATTCATTTTTTTCTTTTACGAGCGGGGCCCATTTTAGTTCGTGTTTACCTAAGCTGTCACCTTACAGAATGGCGATTTTGACTGGTTGGGTCCGTTGAATTAATTGTGGAGTTTTGGAGAGATATCGTCTGATGTGCGATAACGTCCGATGGACGAGCTCCCTACTGTCGGTGGGAGCAATTTGCTTAATTCTGACAGTTTCGGTCGCGGAATTAGAGGTCCGCTTAACGTGCTTAATTGTTACGACGTCCAGTTCTGAGAGCCAATGTTCGTAAATTGTATGTAATGCGAGTGATTTAGAGATTAGGCGGTGCTATCAATTAAACAGTTACTGTGAACCTGGTACCGACAGCCATCTAGATGGCTGACCCGCCATTCTACGTAGTGCGAATTGGAATTACATCAGAGTTACAGACCTTATTGTTCAGTGAAGTATAACTTTTAACTCCTGACTATGACTTAAATGATGACTGATGATATAGATTGTAAATGAACTTACCGTGCGAGCCGACTGCGGCGGAGTAGGGGGCGTGCATTTGTTGATGGTAGTAGCGGGCGCGACTGTGATGACCGCCTTCCAGCGGGGAGTGGAAGAAGCCGTCGCCATTGGCGTCGGCGTTGACGTCGCCGGCGGCGGGGCTGCCGTTGACGCGGCCCTCGTACCACCGCTGCTGCAGCGCGCTCGCCCCCGACCCCGCGCCCTCTCCACTCATGTCCATGGCCGATCCGACCTCACACACCATGCATCGCTTTTATACACACGCACTAAAAGTCCACTCCCCTATCAACATTCCTAAAGTCAGTTTCGTGTATGATGAACCCGAACTAAAGTGCGGTCGGGTTCAGTCTTTGCATTTGTAGGCCTCAACTTGTAGCAGGGATTGACGACCAGTTCATATTGCACATATCTGTGGAAGATAAAAGTATATTTAGGATACGATAAACAATACAATACAGAAATGACTGAAGCTTTTAAATCCGGGAAAACCAATTAGGCACCATGTTACGTGCACACGGATGTCATGAGGGAATTTTTTGACATCAAAGAAACACCAACGATAAATCCGGCCGGGTGTTTTGTCAAAAAATAGACAATCAATTAAGATAGTAGTGGTGTGCTATCAAATACGTCTGCGATATCGATACGCTCCCAATTTGATTAACTGATAAGGTACGAACAACACTCGAACCGCCACGATAAGCGATGACCGGGTATTAAGCGTTGTTATGGCCAACCGAACTGTGATTTTTATTAATACTAAAACCTGCTCACGATATCTTTATCTGCTTTTGGCACGTTTACTTAACACTCCTGTAGTCCACCACCTTGCCAGTCTATGTGTAAACATGAGAGTGTTTGTAAATATTTAAAAAATGACAACAATTTGTATGCAGAAACATTCATTTATTTATTATTAAGACTATAACTCAATATGCAAGGTTGAAACCAAAAGATCAATTAATTTTCTATTCATAATATAATCACAAGGTTTTTTGTTAAGATAGGTTAGGTTTTATTAATATACATACATATATAGGTATGCAATATGCATTATATTGTGTGTAATGTCATAATCATTGAATTAATGTTGGTGAATCCATTAACTTTATTCTATCAAATAAATTCAATAATTCATTTAATAGGTATGTACTCTCACAGATTGACAAACTACAATTCAAACCAATCATATCATAGCAAACTTTCATTTCGCATCTGACATTTCACAAGCTCATAAAGTATGGATATTGTTGACATTTAATTCTATTCATACAAATATGATACTTGATAAGCTGCCGCACCCGTAGTATCACATTAGAGTTCCGTACTTTGAATGTTAATAATTGAATAACTTTATGGAATGCTAGGAATAGAAAATTGTTTTTCAAATGTCATAGTGGGCCTACACACACGTAGCAAAATAGCAATTCCTTATATTTTATTCAAAATAACATAGTTTTACATGTCAACAATCCTTAATACTTTAACTGCCAAGTTTAAAATGGTGAAAGTCAAACCTCCACTAGCGTCAGGCACCGGTGACTGACGTGGCGCTCTAAGGGTTAACAATAATCCACCTACGTAATATTTCAATGATTTAATAGGAAATGTAGTTTAAATCATTGGCACTATTTATGCAAGTATGGAAATAATAAAGAAGGTTATATATGCTAACTGTTTAGCAAAGTAAATAGGTACTTAAGTAGATATAATGAAACAAAAATAACTTTTTAAAAGACGTCGTTAAGGGATTCGTTCTCTTGTTGACCAGGCCGCCGGCATTATATTTGTTATAAAAATGTTTTGAGTGTTTTCATAATAACTATCGTGAGACATACTAAATTAACTAAATATCGCGGGTTACTCACATGAATAAATTGAGAAAAGCTCTACTAGTTTCGAACCACAGAAGGGTTCTTCTTCATGAGCAGCGTGCGCGTACGCGGCGACGTCAGTAGGCTGGTTGTTTTGAGTATTTCTATTATACGTTTACAACTTTAAAACTTAAAAACTACTTACTTGATTCTTTCTATTATGAGATATTAATTTATTCATTTCATCATTATTTAAGAAGAAAATATAAATTAGTATAGAAAATAGTAGTCTTTGTATGGAGTCACGACAATCAACAGAAAAAAGAATTGGATCGATAATAATTTAGTTATTGGAACTTAAATTATGACCTGTGCCTTGTGATTACTAACAAGTTTAACAAATAAATATTTAATAATTATTTGTAGTTTAATCTATATATAGAGGTATAAAAGAAAGTCGTGTTAGTTACACCACTTATAACTCAAGAACGGCAGAATAAATTTGGCTGAAAATTGGTAGGGAGGTAGCTTAGAGCCAGGAGACTGACATAGGATACATTTTAACCAAATTTTTTTTTTTTACTTTTTACCGAAAATCAAGAACGGGGACGGGAACAAATGGGATTACGCGTACGAAGTCGCGGGCAGAAGCTAGTAAATAAATATTTGTATATTATTTTTTTTATCCTAATTGAAATAAACAATTGCAAACTCGTAAAATATGTTATTAGACATTTAAGAGTGTTTATACTTGTACTTGTTACATGTTTTAGTTTTTTCTATACCTAACTAATTAGGCAGATGTATAAATGCTAGGTACCTAATTGACTATATATAATGTACAAAATAATGAAGTCTTGTACCTACATACTGTAGCTGAAAAACTTTAAAAGCTTTACAAGTTTCAAAGAACAAAGATACAAGCTTGCCCAGCTAGTGAATATTATAGGCACTGTAATAATAAATTTTCATGAAATTAACTTCGTATGCTTTAATTACAATTGTCACTTTTTATTTTAGTTATAATAAAATATGTTTTTATTGTATGTCATGAGGGTTCGAAACCCACCAACGGCAAGTACCAATGTGACTTTTTCCGAGTTATATGTACTTTCTAAGATTATATAGACACCACTGACAAACGATGAGGGAAAACAACGTGAGGGAATCTGGACTTATAATTTCTAATTATAAGTTTGAAATCGCCAACCCGCATTGAGCAAGCGTGGTGATTAATGCTCATATTTTCTCCGTGTGAGAAGAGGCTTTGTTCAGCAGAGTGCATTTATAGGCTGTTGATGATTTGGTGTTTTTATTTTTGATAAATTAGTTTATTTACAGTTAAAAATGAGGTTTATTTGTGTTTTTTTCCATTTATTACTTATGACAAATTGGAATATAATTATAGTTTCTTCCTAAGTATAACTATGTTCTAGGTATTAAAAGTAGATAATAAATGCCAAATGTTGACATTAAATTAAATATTACTAAATATATTCACGATTATAACTTAAATACAATACAGTACAATAGAAAAATAAACATAACAAATACTTTAGAAATATGACAAAGACTATTTGTCAATGTTATAAATATTTTAAGAAATAGGTATCTCCTTTTAAATAACATAAGGAAATTGGTACTGATGTGATAACATTTAAGCTAAGCTTAATGTGTTATTGTTCTTAATTTATTTTTTACTAGCTATTGCCCGCGACTTTGTCCGCATAGTATATTCTGTTCTGTTTTATACCTTGGGAGCATTTATTCGGGATAAAACATATCACCTAAGTTACGAAATTTGTATGTATCATTATATCATTATTACATTTCCTGCCACAGGTCCACAAGAAGAAATTCTAGTAGGTAATAATTCTTGTTGTGTGTCGTAGCAAAATAAATGGTTTTTCTTTCTTTCTTTTCTTTAATAGGAATAGTTGGTACCTTTGTACTTCAATTTTATATATGTGTTGTCCTTTAAGCTGTATGTGAGTACATAAATAATAAATAAATAAATTTCATCTAAATCCGTTCAGTAGTTTTAGCGTGGTTGACGGATAAACATAAAAACAAAGAAACTTTCACATTTATGTATAACTAGCTTTTACCCGCGGCTTCGCTCGCGTCACAAAAAGATAAAACGTAGCCTATGTGACTACCCATTCCTTCAACTACCTTCAGTTGAAAAATCACGTTAAGTACCTCCGTTTTGCCGTTTAAGACAGGCAAACAAACAAACAGCTGTTCGCTTGCGTGGAATTCGGTTATAACGCGCGTTTTAGATTTTTCCGTGGGAATGAGAAGTTCTGCCGCGGTAATGCCTTGCTTTTCCAGGACTCAAACTACCTTTATACCAAAATCGATTCAGCCGCGTGAAAGAACAGAAGAAGTTATTTTCGCATTACCACAAATACCTCCTCCCATTTTAATTTAAAAGACTTCTATTTCCTATAAGGGTTATATTTGCAATGCTAAACCAAAACTGAGTGGTAAACTATATTATACGTTTTATTATCGAAAACCTAACTACTTTAGACATCTACTTAGAAATAAACCACTTCACTAATCTAACCTAACTAATATAGCTACTGCTGTATCAATCAACGTAAACAATGAACAAAGTGTCTTCGAACGACGAAATAAAAATACTATAGTACTTTAATTTAAATATCTACCTAGAAAAAATAACACTTGACTAATCAAACCTACAAATCGAACAAATAATAATCAAGATAAGCGCTACATGCGTACCCTAAAATATAGTTGATACGGAAGCTCGGAACCTATACTTTCGCCGGTAACGAAACCATAGCGCCATCTAACTCGATCCTAACGCCATCTATCGAGCGTTGAAACAACAGCGTACAATATATTTGCTAATTGTTGAGTATTGTTGCCACTATGGTTTCGTGTACGTTTAACAATCTAAAATCTATAAAATACGCAACTTAATGTAAAATGGTTGGAACCAAAATTTAAAAGCGAAGAATACTTAAAAAACACAGCGCTATTCCGTTTTATAAACACTCAGCGCCATCTATCGCCAAGTAGCGTAACTACTACATAGTCACCAATTTTGTGTACCTTTAACAACCTAAAATCTATAAAATACGCAATTTAATGTAAAATGGTTAGAACCAAAATTTAAAAGCGAAAAATACTTAAAAAATAGCGTAACTATTACATAGACACCAATTTCCTGTACCTTTAACAACCTAAAATCTATAAAATACACAATTCAATGTAAATGTGTCTCTGTATTGTTATTTCTTTTCCTGCCACAGGCCCACAGGAAGAAATTCCAGTTGGAATATGTGGGGCCTATGTACTCTGTTTTTTATTATGTATTGTCCTCTGTGTTGAATGTGTGTACATAAATTAATAAATAAATAAATAAATAAAATGGTAGGAACCAAAATTTAAAAGCGATGAAAGTACTTTAAATGCACAACGCTACCCCGTTTTATGAACACTCAGCGCCATCTATCGCCAAGTAGCGTAACTACTACACAACGTTACCACGTTGTGTTTTTTAAGTATTTTTACATAAAAAATAGCAAATAAACGAAAAGCGCACTGAATAAGTGTAGATTAA